CAGATGTTTCCCCAGGCCACGCCCCGCGGACTCCGGGCGGCTCCGGGCAGCGATAACGGGGAGCGCCGGGTCCGCTGTCACAGCGCGATGGGAGGGCTGCGAGACCGCATCGCCAGCTCATTGCCTTCTTGAGAAAACGGCATTAATCCATACTGCGAGCAACAAGCTGCCAGTGCCAGGATCTATCTGCTGTTCTTTTTCTCTTCCACTGGACCGCCAACGCTTTTTCGATTTAGTGACAAGCTGGGTGTGATCGTCACGAACAAAGTGTGGGTTTGATGGCTGCTAAATCAGTCTTTACTCCTACAAACCGATCCTAAGAAATAAGGGAGGGAAAAGTCTGCTTGTATAATCTTTTTAGAAAGGGAAAGAGCGCTGTTGTGTTGGGTCTGTTTTTCCCTTTTTTTTTTTTTGTCTTCGTCTGTTTGGATTTCTTTTTAAACTTATGAAAAATGGCAACAGCAGCGTACGTGGATCATTTTGCAGCAGAGTGCCTTGTTTCTATGTCAAGTCGTGCTGTTATCCATAGTCCCAAAGGGGATCCTGATCCCCAACCTGATGCAGCAATACTTCCTTCATCCAATGGAGAAGATAGACGGGAAGTCAGAGAAACCGGGAAAGACAATGGATCATCATTACTTGTGGTAGCTAGCATTTTAGCAGATCTGAACCAGCACGTCCCAAACTCACCTGCTCTAAGGACGGAAAAAACAGAGACACTTGATTTAACAGAACAAATACACATTTCTATTGCTCCTGAGGAGTTTGGGGAAGAAAGTCTGTCTTCAGCTGGTAAGCGTGGAGGAGAAAGAGCAGCCACACCTACTAGCCTGGCTGCAGTAACTGAGCCAAGCCCCAGACAAAAGAACAAACGCATAAGAAGCTGGACTGACCCTGGATCACCCCAGAAAAAGCACAAATGCCACTATGTGGGGTGTGAAAAAGTTTATGGCAAATCTTCCCATCTTAAAGCTCATCTAAGGACCCATACAGGTTAGTTACAATCCAGCCAGAGATTTATTTGTTACAGCTTGGTAATTAAAATGAAAAACAAAACCAAACAAACTTTTATTTGGCCACTGTTATGGTTTCACCTCTCGGAACTCAAGCTCGGGAAAACCAAACAACAAAAAACCCCTCTGGGAGTAAACCCTTACTGGGCATAGATTCAAAGCTAATGTTGCCCTTTTTTATTAATGTCACAGGGAACGGCATGTGGGTCATCTGTGCGGATTGTACCAAGCTGTAATTTTTAGTTGCTGGCCTTCTTGTTCTGTGTGTCTTCTGCTTCCCTTTCCAGTACTTCTTACCTCCGTTTTTCCTACTCTGTGCTCCAGTCCCTCTCTTTATACCAGCTTATCATTTCCCATGCAAGTATCAATATTCTTGATATTTTAAAATTAAATGTTCTAGAGGCACCTACATGGCTGTGTATCTGTTTCTTTCTTTAGCAGACACTTTGTGAAAGCTAGAGTAAGCAGAAGGTAGATGAGAGGCTGAACACAAGTCACAAGGAGACACCATGAGTGAGGAGAGAGGGGGATATGGGCAGTGTCTAAAACGCTTTTGGCAGCTGGGTAAAACTGAATTCAAAAGAAAAAAATATTTTAATGCAACCAGTATCTTGTACTCATGGGTGTTCAGTGCTTACTTCTTGGTGAAGGCTGAGCACTTTTTTGTTGCTACTGTAGTTTATGAGACACACCCACAGAAAAAGTGGAAGTCTTCAAGCGTTGAGAAAGTTGTACTGAAAGTATTAGGAGGGCCATCTTGAAATAGGCCCCATGACTTGCCACACCTCACGCCTCTGCCTGGTGCTGGGAAACAGGATGGCTTCCAGACAGACAGGGGACACCAAGAATTGAGGAGATCAGTCTCTGCTGAAGGCACCAATAATAGCACATGTGTTGAGGCACCACACCAACTAGAGCAGACTTGTGCAAGATGTTCCACTGAATAATTTCAGATGGCAAATTAGTTTACTAAGATGTATGGTCAGTTCTCTTAAAAAGAGCAGTAAGAAAGAGATCCTCAGAACTAAACATGATGTAACTCCTGAGCAGTTTTAGCTCTGAGGTGTCAGCCTCACCCATGCTGGCCCTGCTTTCAGTGTGCCTTCAGCTTTTCCTGTTGCCTTCTTGAGATAAAGTAAGAGCCATTCTAATTTGACGGTATGCTTTGCTCTCTGTGGGAGAGAAGAAAGCCCCATCAAATCTGAGCATATGGATGGACAATTCCCTGTGGCACACAGCCAAAGGAACAGCGTGTTCCTGGCACCCCAGGCAGCCTGTCCTGCTTTGCACTGTGTAACTGCTTTTTGCCGCCTTGGGAGTTATACAGAAAAGGTGTTTCCACTTGGCTTGCAGGGAATTGTCTCCATTAATTTTCAGTTCTTTTGCATTCCTGTTGCTGGCATTTGCCATTGTCCTGAAAGCGAAAGATAAATTTAGCAACGTTTCTGGGTTTCCAAACCAACCAAAGACCAAGAAGGGGAACTCCAGCCCCTGATAGAGAGGAGGGTTTGGCATGCCGTCCCTGCGGGGAGAGGAGGGAGGGCAGGGCCGGCGGGGAGTGTCGCTCCAGGCTGCCGGCGGAGTGGAGTCATTCGGGGACGCTGGCTCGGCTCCAGGTTCTCTTTTCCTTTTTTTTTTTTTTTTCCTTAACTCTTCATTTCCTGTATTTTTTCCAGGACTGTAGGGCTCACTTGGCTACTGCTGTAGCTAATGGCAGTAAGAGAGCACGTGTGTCTGAGAGCTAAAGGAAAAGCAGGGAAGGGACTGTTTTTGCCCAGGGAGTGGCAGGACCCTCGGGGACTACAGCTTCTTTGTTTTCTTTCGTCTCCAGTGTCTGTGTGGGAAGCTTTAAGCAAAGCTGCCAAGTTTCCCTCCTCACTGGCAACAGGTCTGTCTCTGTTTGGATCGAGTTTTAAACAGGCTTAAATGCCTCTTACTCTCCTTGTAGAATGTTTCCTAAGGTGTTTAAATTTTTTTCTATCTTACAAAAAATTGTGACAACCTTGAAAAAATTTTGTAAAACAATGAGAGTTAAACTAACAGAAAAAGTGATCACTTCCAGGACTGGTAAATGTTTGTTCTTACAAAACCCGTAATGGTGTTTTACGGCTTTAGAACAAGGGCTTTGGGTCTCCTGCTTTCTAGTCATCCTGAACTAGTTAAGTAACACATCAGTCTGCCCAGCTGTCAGATAAATAAGGTGATGGCTATCCACATCACAGAGCAGTGGTGAAAGTACCCCAGGTACACATGGAAGCTGCTTTAAACAGCTATCCAAATAAGGCCCAAACCTGTTTGCTAAGAACACTCTAAACCTCTGCAATGGAGCAAAACTTCTTCCTTGTGCTGTATGACTAGATGAGCTGGTATTTAGGGGTGACCTGAAGGCTGAGAAGAGCACTGCAGGCTAGAAGATAACTGATGATCATGCAAGAGATACTTGAAAAAGAACGGTTTATGGTCTGCTTTAGAAACTTGCTTGTCCTTGTCTGCTACTGTGCTGAGAAAGTAAAGGCTTTGCTTTGCATGGTTCGAGGAAGGATAGACCAGATCCTTGAGCTTATGTCAAAGAGATACAGAGCCTTCCAAGTACTATAGCATCAAATCCACCCCACATTGATAGGGACTGAAAGCTGGTACTATTTTCCAAACAGCTATGTGAAATCCTTCTTATAGCCAGATATCAGAGCTTAAATACAGAAAGTAAAAACCATAGTGCAGATGATGCTAATTCTCCTACTTAATGCAGAAGAACCAAGATGGAAATGCCAAGAGCATCTGCTTTTTGTCCTTTACTCAGTGTACAGTGTTTTTTAGTACTTCTATTTGGACAATATGTGCTGGAGAAATCCACAGTTTCTTGTGTGCTTTTTTGGTACACTACTTGTTAACCTGTCTCAGCCTTATGAATACTTCACTTTTATTACACTGAAAACCCTTGAACCAGGCAAAAAAACTTTTCACCGAAATCTACTCTTTTCTCTACACCAACTTTCAAAGTTCCCATCCCCCTATGATTCTTTTCATGTTTATGTTTTCCACTCTAGTCTCTCACTGAATGTCCTGGAGTTCAACATGATCATCAGCCACAAAGCCCTTGAAGTTTTAATATTTACCAGAAGGTTATATTTAGTGTCAGTGGGTAGTTATCAAGTCCAAATACTTTTCCACTAAGCCTCCCATGGATCTTGAAAGCTCTGTTGTGGTCCACGGAGGCAGCACCCCTGTTTGTCCTAAGCTATACTGACACCACTGATACAAGAGGTTTTACTGATACACAGATTTAAAAATCCTCTCCACTGAGAAAATTTCTAAACACAAAGGACTTGCAAAAAAATCAAATAAATAATTCACATGACAGAGTCCCCTTTTGTCTCAACAGGTTTTCAGTGCAAAGGTGAAATTTTCTGGAATTACTGGAAACCAGTTAGTCTCTTGATGCACCAGTGGTAAAAGGGAGACTGTACAGTGCCTAATAGCAATCACCAGGCTGCAATCTTAGACAGCCTTGTCCCGGACTACTGTGTTCTGAGAGGCTGTAGAGAGTCCCAGCTTATTGCATTATATTACATATTTATACACAGAGAAAAAGTATGGAATCTTGGGCAGGACTCACAAGAATCCTATGTGTTGCAGCTTCCCACCACATCATTGTGACAGTCTCAAGCTTTTAGCCATCTCCATTAGCACACCATCACCATCATGAATGCAGAGAAAACACAAAATAAACCTTCATTTAACTCCATTGAACTGTCCTTCTAAACTTACTAGTTCTAAGCACTAAGCAGCACATTATAACACAGAAACAGCTTTTCAGTCAGTCATCAGAATTAAATGAATCTGCACAAATTAGTAGAAGCTAAGGAGAAGTGGGCACCAGTCTCAGCCAGGAGTCTTAGTCTTGCAGCAAAACCAACTTAGGGGCCATGTGGCTTAACAGTAGCTCCTCTGCACTGTTGCTAAACCAGCTCTATGTCAAAGCACAGAAAGAAGAAAAGGCCTATATTATTCTCACACGTACATGTCAGGTTAGGGCTCATCCAAGAGAAAGTGGTGAAGACCTTTGTCGATCTCTAGTTGGCAGAATGAGCTTGGGCAGCTATGTGTTTTGCCTGCTTAACCTTGCAGTTGTGGTAGATACATTATTTGGCATCTGTTGTTCTTTTTAGTCTGACCTTTATCCATTAGCTGGATTGAAATAGGTAGAAAAGACCAACTCATTTCCATTTCTTTACATTAAATCTCTATAATCACATATTTGAGACACTACATTTCATACACTAATGAACCTGTATGAAAAAAAGTTCTTTTTTAGCTTATGTACCCTTTTTTACCCATCAGTTGTAATATCTTGTTTCCCTAGACAAAATTTCTCTGTTGACTTCGTAGCTGGTATATGTGAAGATGTAGAATTTAATAATGTAACTGATAGTTGAAAACAATTTGAGAATAAAGCAAGCAGACCTCACTGTGATGAGTATGACAAGAGCATAACAGGTTGGACAAACAAGAATAGTATATGTCCTGTGTTCAGGCTGGTAAAGAGGCCTTTATATAAAGTATAAATAATCCATTTTAAATAGGGCTTTGGATTTCACTTTCAGTTCTAGTAAGTCTAATTTGCTCACACTATGTTAATTCAAAACAAAACAGTAAAGCACAGCTTCCCTTAAAGCTCTGAATCAAGATGCTATCAATGTGTGTAGAAACAAATTAATCAATGTAAGAAGCAAGTTTTTCTATCACATAAATAAACTTTATGTTCCATTTTAGCACCTGGCAATTACCAGAAACAGCTAGTTAAGTAAAACCCCATGGACTAGATCTGGCTGGGTTTCTTTTAGCTTGTTTCTAGGCACACAGTGACTCTTGAATGTGTATGTGTGTAACAGGTGGGCAGTATTGGTGAAGATTTGCAGGAAAAGGTTACAAGAGAAGAAACCCAATCTAAGGCCTTCTGTGCTACTCAAGCGCAGTGCA